GGGGTGGGGAGGGGCGGGCAAGGCGGTATAGCACGGCGACCAGCGCCACGCTGCGCCACCCACACCGCTAAAGGTTGCGTTGCACAAGGTCCTCGTTCGGTCCTCGCGCGCTCCCATCGTCCTTCACAGCGGCCAATTGTTTCCGATATTCCGCTAGTCTCTCGCTCGCTCGCTCGCTCTCTCTCTCTCTCTCTCGCTCTCTCTCTCTCCCCCACTCCCTCCTATACGCTGCTTGCGTAAAGTTTTCTTATAAGCAGTGTGATTTTGTTTCCTAAGTACTTTGATAACAAAGTTATCAAATGTAGTCAATTATAGCTCACTTAAACTTTGTGTCTTATTTGCATGCCAATATTTTGGTGTTTCTTTGGAATGCATTTTTTTTAGCATTTGTTTAATGCCCTATTTTGGCATCTTTCTAAGGAATCCCAATATTTGGGCCTCTATTTCTTTGAAGAATGCTAATATTTGGCTGCTTTCCAAACCATATTGTGTCATGCGAGGAGCCTAAGATTAAGCATGTGAAGGCAAGCGACGCCAATTTTGGCATTTAAATACAAAATAAAGATCTAAATTATTGGCATGGAAAGAGACCGCGGCGCACAGTGCTGTCTTTCTACTGACACGACGAACCCCGTGCTGACTAGTGATGCTGCACGGATGCTGGCGTGTGAGTGAGTTGCCTACCCGCTAGGCGCGCTCGCAGACCATCGCAAAACACGTCCATTTCTATGTCAATCAAAAATTTACGATTTCACTAGGTTTATTTTTTATGTTTGTACTATGTCAGAATTTATGAAACAAAACTCCAGTTATCCTATAGCTAATCAGCAAAAACAGAAGAAAGAATGTGTTGAGCTTTCTGACACGCTTGTCTATAGCGGTCATCATCGTTTGTTAGCATGGGACGTGTGTGTGTGTGTGTGTCGGTGGCGAGATGAAGCTGTGACTGCACCACACTGCACTGCACCTGTATCCGCCCGCCTCCTCGCGCCGCAGCTGCAGCCGGGAGGGAGGGAGGGAGGGGGTTACAGGGGCTAGCTGAGGCCAACTGCCTTGGCCTGGTTGCAGTCCTCCTGCTCTCCACTTCCACTGCACTTGCGCTGCACTTGAGTTCCAATCCATCTCACCCCCTCCCCTTTCTCTCTCTCTCTCTCTCTCTCAGCATTTTTAGCAGGCGACCTGCTCCACTACAACCATGCTACTAACCACCGGAGCAGAGCTACCTCAACTACCACCTTACACGTGACACACCTCCTTATCACGTGGTACACGCGGCGGCTTGTGCTGCGTAGCACTGCACTCTTAAAATAAAATACTGGACCAGACGCTTGCCTACACTTAAAATCCTCTGTACCTTATCTTACCTTACCGTGTCTCTAGTCGGCAAAATTAGCTGTAAAATAAAATCTCGAGAATTTCTATAAAAACAGTTTTACAGTTTAACAGCAGTACTGTCGTTTACTTCTATCTTCATTGTTCATGTCTTCTAGGATTTTTGCAGCAAGTTGTCGAACTCTTTTGTTTGACACTGTAAATTGGCATGTGGCTTTGTTTGACACTTTTAATAACCAAACTCTGACGTTTTGCTTTCCTTTTTCAATTTTCCTGTGTCTTTGCAATTTTAAGTCATTTCTTTAGAATGGCCTTTTTTCTTGGTATTGGACGTTGTTAAAACTCAAAACTCGTTATAAAATTGTTATTATTGTATATAGAGGACACCATAAAGCCGCCGTCCCGGGACGCGTTCGGCCTCCTCCGTTCGAAAGGCTCCAACTGTATTAAGTAGCAAAGGCGCGTAATTATTGCACGGGCCGTGAGCCGCTGCGCACAGCCCGGGCTGTAAAAGGCGCTTTTATAGAGAAAACATACGGGAGCGAGGCACGGCCATCCACAGAGAGTGTCACGCAAGATTTGCGCAAGCATTGGATATGGATGGATGGATGGGTGGTATGGGTGTAATAAAAATAGAAATTGTAATGAGATTAGGTGAGCATTCAGGGAGACCCGGCCAGGTTCCACGTTTATATTACGGGAGCAGCCTTGCAAGCGCCGTGTCGGACTTGGCGACTCTTTCGCTATCCCATACATTGTAGCACTCTGCACCCCCCCCCTCCCTCCCCCAATCCCCCTCCTCGTCTGTTCCCTCACTCTTCTCCCGCTATCGCATTCTTGTATCTCCCCGACATGCAAAACTTGCGAACTGGATGATAGTCTGTGCCTGGCGCAACCACCAGCTCTCCATTTCTCTCTGTTTCTTACTTCTCTCTCTCTCTCTCTCTCTCTCTCTCTCTCTCTCTCTCTCTCTCTCTCTCTCTCCCTCGCTCCCTCTCCCTCTACCGCCCGGCGCCGCTCGTTCCTACCCTTCCACACTGGTGCACACACACACACCTCCTCACTCATCAGGCTTCTTGGTCCAGCCCACCCACCTTTTAACAAGCTCATTCTTCTGT